GAAAACTGCTAGTGGTATATAATATTTACTCTAATCTATTTTTCATCATGTGTAACTGTTGATTCAATTCCTGTTAGAGTAAAAATGTAATAGCCTTCATTATATGAAAGTAAATTGTAATTCTTATGTTTCATAATTACAATTACGAGCTGATATTGCACTCTGACACACTTGAGTGTATTTGCTATCTTTTTTATTGCACTCTTTCTTTCTCATTGTTTACCTTGTTATATTGTGTGTATTTAAAAAATAACTGTGAACATGTATTTTTATATGTATATTTCTTGCATAAAATAAGCTGATCACAGGGCACAGTCACCTTTTATAATATAATATATGGAGAGAACGAATAGTATTCATGCTCAAAAGTCCTTTAAACAATACAAATTTGGAGCCGAGCAATCACGGACCTCCAAAATATCAGAGGTGGGATCAGGTTCCGTGGCGGAGTGACCATCCTATGCCGACCGGTCACACCTGTGTGCTCCTTGTCATGATCTGGAAATAACGGGAAAATCCGTCGACAACTCAAAGTATAATTAATGGACTAACAATAAGATGAAAAACGTCAGCCTTTATTTAAAGTAATGATAAATTGTATTTGCTGACAAGGTCGTTTAATCCACCATAGAATTTACGAAATTACAAACGAGACTGCTTCCTATCTACTTGTTTGCCAATAACTTACCTCGTTTTCGAAATTGAATACTAGTATATGTAGAGCATGCTCTTTCGTATCGAATCAACTGAGAGACATAAACCTCGTGTGTAGGTGATTATGGTATATTACTGCATAAGTAAAGGAAATCTAACAATTGAAAAGATATATTTTAGTCCTCATGTTTATTATAAAATTTGGTTGTTTAATTACCATTAAAGTTTTTTTCAAGTCAAACATCCAAATATGAAACAGATGTGTCAGACTCTGTGGTACATGTATCTTTTATCTCAAGCTCACTAGGATATAAAAAACAACATAGATATTGTCAATCAGAATCTTAAGCACCCTGTTCAATATCAACTTCAGAGTACTTGTGTGTACAATCAGAACGTTTCAAGAAATAATTTTGTAAATGACAAGGTAAGTAAATTTATATGTTCCATTTTCATTGAAAACGCTGCTGTCAATGATATCAAAAAGCCTGTTCAATGTAAACTTCATTATTGTGTGGAATCAGAATGTATATAAATTTGAAAAGCCGTAAGTTTTAATGTTGTTAATATTAATAAAATTTTGTGATTTCAAATTTTCCAAAAATCCTTGGAATCTTTAAGCATCCACATATACCACTTCTCGAGCATATTGTTGCACAGTACTTCTGAAGTTTCTCCTTCACTACTGTTAATATTTTAATGAGGAGTAAAGAAAGATTTGGTAGCACATTTACTGGAATTCACTTTGTGGCATTGTTTGTGAGAATTTTTATGAAGTTTAGGAATGCAGTACAGATATGGTAATTCAAATCCATGTTGGTTGTTGTGAATATGAAAAATATTCAAAACTTACGTATAATTTTGAAGAATATCCTCGTTAGAAAGTGAGCTATGGGTATAAATTGGACCAGTAGAATTAAATCCCAGTTCCTCTAAAATACAATTTGAATAATGTTTTTTCAAACAAATATAATGATGTTACCTGCTTTTTCATTAAGGACCAGTACGTACTGATCATGTTATCTATCTAATTCTTTTTTTTTCGCTTCTTGTTTCACTTCTGGTTTTCATTTTGCCCCACTTCCAACAATCTATAAGAATTCCCAAAGGTATGCAATTGCGCCCCGCTAAATTTTAGCAGGCCTATTTTTGTATTCAGATGAAGCAGGATTTGTCCAAAATCTTACACATGAAAAGAAGAACACAATTACTGTAGCCTTCGACTCAATTCAGATATATCGACGATTTATTGTCGATTAACAGTGTTTAATTTAGAAACCATTTCGATGATTCTCCTCCCATATGATAATGATAAATCACATAAATTACAAAAAAATATAATGACACGGGCATTATTTTTGATAAGGGAAATGAATTACATTACTACAAAACTCTCTATACATGTGTAACAGCATCATCACAAACCGCGGCCAAAATGTATGATCCTCTCCCATTCTGGAGGGGAGAGCTATAAGAGAAATCCGAAACGTGGCTTAGGACGATGATGTTACAGAAAATGGTTGGTAATATTTAGTCTTTGCAAGGTTAGTGCATTTATTTCAATAGCTGAAAAAAAACAACACAAGGACTCTGAAGTTGATATTAAAAAGATGTTTGACTTTCTAATTGACAATATCTAAGTAGTTTTTGGAGACCATACAGGTCTTCCAACAATAAGTTCGAATTCCCTTGGAAAGCAAAACCCCGAAATTAGCAGACGTTCTTCAAAATCTCAACTTCTTCATAGGAAGAAAACACTTGTTGTGGCCTTCAAGTGAACATTTAGATAATACTGACGGCGCATTTTCAATTAACAATGGTTACTTCCATTCATATGTCGATTCGATATATCCAAGTTAATTTGAAATCAAAAGCATCACAAAGTCAGACAAATTTGTTTCTTTAAAAAGTATACTTTATAAAAGACATTAATGGCAACACACGAAACTTCATAATAATTTTATATGACAAAGTTTTATATGAACTTCGTTAAAAGTTTATTTCCAAGTTTGTTGTAGCAACATATATCTTATCAGCTGCATATGAGTTTTCAGTCTTGTTAGCAGTTGATTCACATACGCATAGAATTTAGCATGTTTTGAATAAATTCACGCATTAAATACTATCAATTTTTAAAACGAAACAAGCTATTAACCAACAAGTTGATGGAACAAGGATGTCAACATTCTCGTTTAAAGTCATCATTTCGCAAATTTTATTGTTGATACTATGACCTTATAACCAAATATACTCGAACATCAGGAATATAATATAAAATATTTATTAATTATGGAATTTATTTCTAAATTTGCACATAACAATACCTCAATGAAACAATACTAAAAAATATTTTAATTTTGTTCTGAACCTCTACAAGATTTTAATGCAAATTAAAAAAAAATTATAAAGGCACATGTAGTTCGATCCTCAGGTTCTTAGAATCAGGCATTTGGGTAATTGAAAATGTTTCACAAAGAAGAGAAAAGTTCTCAAAGTAATTTTTACCACAGCAATAAAAAGAATAATGATTCTTGAAAGTCTCTTAATGTTATTAAAGTTAATCATATATTTAATCAGACTTAAACTGCAGGAAGTAGCATTTTGAGAGTTTTTAACAGAAAATTTTTTTACCATGGCAAATCCGAAATCAAAAACTATCACAGAATTATGTATTTTGTAGTCTACTTGTGTGCCAGTTATATTGAAATCAGACAAAAACTGTAGGAGAATAAAAAGAATTTCACAGAAATTCCTATTTTTGTAACAACTGAAATTTCGAAATCAAAAACTGATATTCAGAATTAATCTTTGAATCACCTTGTGTGCCAAGTTATATTGAAATCAGACCAAAAAAAAGATTTCGAAGAATTTCATAGAAATTTCTATTTTTGTAACCACGGCAACATTTTGAATCAAAATAATAAATTACACAGAGTGTATCTTACTGTCTACTTGTGTGCCAAGTTATATTGAAATCATCCAAAACTTTAAATAATTTTAAAGAATTTCACAAAATTTCTATTTTTAGCAACAACAGCAACACCGTTCATCAAAATCAAAAATCGATATACAGAATTATGTATCTTAGTGTAGTCTATTGTATGCCAAGTTATACTGAAATCAGACCAAAACTGTAGGAGAAAATTTTGAAAGAATTTCACAGAAATTCCTTTTTTTAACAACGGCAACACCTTTCATCGAAATCAAAAACTGATATATAGAATTATGTATCTTAGTGTAGTCTACTTGTATGCCAAGTTATATTGAAATCAGACCAAAAATATAGGAGAAGTGTTGAATAGAATTTCATAGAAATTTCTAGAGAGTAACCATGGCAACACCGTTAATCAAAATCCAAAACCGATACACAGAATTATGTATCTTAGTGTAGTCTACTTGTGTGCCAAGTTATATTGAAATCACACCAAAACTGTAGGAGGAGTAGCATTTTGAAAGAAAAAAATTTCTATTTTTAGCAACAACAGCAAAATCAAAAAAAAAATATACAGAATTATGTATCTTAGTTACTGTTAATTTGTGCCAAGGATTGAAATCAGACCAAAAATGTAGAAGGAGTAGCATTTTGAAAGAATTTCACAGAAATTTCTATTCTTAGTTACCACAGCAACATCGTTCATCAAAATCAAAAACCGATACACAGAATTATGTATCTTAGTGTAGTCTACAAATGTGCCAAGTTATATTGAAATCAGACCAAAACTGTAGGAGAAGTAGCATTTTGAAAGAATTTCACAGAAATTTCTATTTTTAGTAACAACGGCAACACCGTTAATCCAAATCAAAAACCGATACATAGAATTATGTATCTTAGTGTAGTCTACTTGTGTGCCAAGTTACAATGAAATCAGACCAAAACTGTAGGAGGAGTAGCATTTTGAAAGATTGTTTACAGACAGACAGACAGACAGACGGACAGACAGACAGACGGACGGACGACGGACGCATTACTATCGCATAAGCTCTTCTGGTCTTTGACCAGTAGAGCTAAAAATAAACAAAAACAAAAAAAAACTTTTTCCTGAGAATAATCTTTTACTGTTAATTTGGTAAGAAAATGTTCACTATCAAACTAGTTGCACCCCCATTTTTTTGTTTTTTTGTAAGTAAATTATTTTTCCAACCTCCATGCTACATGCCTGGGGACTACAAAGATATTGTCAGTAAGAAAGTCCAGTATATTTTTAACATCAACATCAGTGTGCATAGAATCAGAATGATTTTAAACAAATTAATTTTGTAGGTGGCCTGTCAAAAAATAGGAAAACTCTAGGTTCCATTATTATTTCCAAACCAGTTGTGTATAATATTGAAACACATTTCATTAATTGTATGGACTAGCTATTTATTTCACTGAAGATGATATTCTTAAACAAGGCTGAAATGCATTTAACTTAAGACAATAAACTTTCATAGCTAAGGCCATGGAAGTTAATTTATTGGTTCTCAGGCTTTTTTTTCAAGAAATATGATGAGGGAGGGGGGCACTTTTTTTTTTTACTTTTTTATTGCCCCCAAAAGTGAAACATGACGTGGCAGCTTTTTACATTGAACAAAACCTCAAAAAATGATGAGGGAGGCGATTTGTGCTTTTATTTTATTGATTTAGCAATAATAAGGGTAAACAAGACACCCTTGGAAAAGATGAGGAAGGTCCTGAGAGCCAAGAAATTAATTTTTTATGGCCTAACATATATTCAATGAAAGCATAAACATATTTGAAAAAATACAACTTATTACCAAAATAAACAAAATTCAGGTTCTGTTCCATTGTACAATATTCCATGTCACTTATAACTTGTTTTAAAACAATGTTTGATTTGATTACAAAATGCAATCTATTCAGTGATCACCTCCTTTTATGTTGGACAATGTTTTGACCTCTCCATAGAAAATGTACATTGAAGGTGATCCAGTTAATAATACAAACTTCATAGTCACAACAGCATTGAATTGTCATGTATATTGTGTAAAAATTATTTTTACTGCAAATTACTTTTTGAACTTGCTTATACATGTTTCAGCATACGGTAAAATCCTTTTTCTTTTGTTATTTTTTAAATTTAAATTATGTATTTCAGTATATAATTATTAAATCTCTGGTCTCATATAGTTTAAAATTATCAGTTGTAAAGTTTAACATCATTTTAATTAAGTTTAAAACAAATTTTAGAGAATTTGTATTATGCATGAAAAATAAAATGCAATTTCCTTTTTTTTTTTCTTGTAAAATTGTCATATTAATATCACCATAGTGTGAGACAGTGTGAGACTGGCATTCCTAATTTTCTTAACGATCCTGAATGTTGAACTACAGGTGTATATTGATATTTAAATTTGTTCATATCGACCATTAAATCCTCAGTTTTGGTCAATCACCGATCCTCTCCCAGACTTCTCGTGACTTGTCCACCTCCACATATCACAGAATTCGTAAAATATTTCAACATGGCACCATTCAATCCAATAGTTTTTTCCTATGAAATCAAGAGAATTATTGATACTCAGAGTAAACATCAATTATAGTCTCACACTTATACAAGATAGACTTGATACATATACAATTAATTGCAAAATATCTCTGTTCGTGATAACACTTAATAACGATACACCTACATGTTGTTAAAGTTAGTCATCTATCAAATCATTGCTAATTATTACATTCATTAACACTTCTTTGAAAGCACATGAGAATCTGATAAATTTCACCTAAAATTTCAGGTATGTCTAAAAAATTTTCAGCTGCAGAAAAGCATTTAAATATCATAAGCTTTTGCATTACAAATAAATTTGCCTACTCAATTTTTAAAGATGGCGCTTTCAAAAAAGTATTTAGTAAAACCTAAATAAAATGAGCCTCTCATGAAAAACTGATGCTTGAGTTAACTCACTCCTCTCCCTGCTCAGAATTAAGGGCTGCTAATTTCCTCCTTTCTTTTGCTGAAAGATTAAGCTTTCCACCTGTGAATAAAAATTTCATTTTTTCTAAATTTTGTGTAAAATAAATTGAAATATACAAGCTTTCACCCTGAAAAATTCGTTTTTTCCACAATCATCCACAATTTTCTTTTTTAATATGCTAATTTTTTGAAGGGGAAAAAAGATATATTTTTAATTTTTATACTAATTAAAGGATATTCCTCTGTTTTTATTGCAAGTGGCAGACAAGTATTCCTATGAAGCATAAACTGAAGTTGGTCCATATTGTTTTCATTAATGAGAATATATTTGAATATTTCATGGTTAAGTTTATTTAATTTGACCTTAAAATAAATGTTAAAGCTATCCATCAAATAGTCAATTGAATGCTACCGATTCAATTTGATAATTGATAGCAGATTTGGTCTGAATTTGCAATACTGAATACCAGTATTACAATGAGAAAAGCCTTAAAAAATGCACATACATAATCACAACCTTAAGTCAAATTGTATAGTAAAGAAAAGCTTCCAATATTTGTTTCACAAGGTTACAGAAACTTTTTTTTACCTTTAGAGGCATCCACTAAATAGAGCAGCACAGCAGCTATAAGGGCCACTGAAAAAAATATGAATGTATTAAATAACTAAGCTATTTGTTTGTAAATTACACTTTGCATATCACTTTTTACATGTTAAAATTTTGAGAAATTGTTTTCAAAAAAACTTTTTAAAACAGCTCAGAACAGAGATTCAACAACGTCTTATTCCACAAAGTTGTGCAAATGAATTGAAAAACATCAAGAACATCAATAACGGTTTTTTTTTTATGCTGAAGTAGAATCATATTTCTCAAAAACATAATTCTTACCAATATGTAGAATACAAAGGTGATTATGATATTTGTGATAAAGAATATAATCCTATTGTCTTATGAAAATAATTTAAAGTGAAAGTAATTGAGAGAAATCCTGGCATCATACCACAGAGACATGCCAAGAAGAAGACTTCCAGGATGAGATAGCCTTTGGAATCAACAATAGCACCAGCTACTATAGCTATCACAGCTAGACCCAAATTCTGTATAGCCTGCATGCTACAAAACAATCAAAATCAGCAAGCTACAGTAGCTATCTCTGAGAGCTTTTATTGCAATTACAGTGAGCTACAATAGCAATTACAGTGAGCTACAATAGCAATCACAGTGTGCTATCATAGCAAGCTGCAGCAGTGATTGAGCTTCAATTGTTTTCTTAGCAAGCTACAATAGCTATCAAAGTGATGTACAACAGTTTTCACAACTAAATCAGATATATGCTTTATTCACTATTGATAAATCAGGCAGTGACAATCAACAATAAATCAATTACAGATCTTTCAATTTCAAGCCCATAATGAATGACAAGTGATTTTATTATTCTGACAAGAGAATCCATGGAAACAGATAAAGAATATTGATTTATGTCAATAAATTTAATTTCACAAAGTATCTTTAATAGCAAAAAACAATTCACAATGAGGTACAGAAAAAAGAACAAGGATTAGCTGTGGTCTACTAATGCAGACATTTTACTTACATGCCATAAGCTGTTCCAAGTTGTGTTGATTTTACGATCTGTGCTGTGATTGGCCAAAGAGCACTGGCAAGAATGGAATAGGCTAGGCCCATACATGACTGCAATGTCCATAATATAGCTTAATGGTAAGAGTATTATTCTAGTCAGAATTTGTTTCACAAAACATTGACAAATAAACCGTAGACTTTCCAAAACTTGAAGTTAACATGAACACATCATGAATATATTGTGTAATCAGTTTAATTTTTGAGGGTCAATGTTCATAAGCAAGCAAACTTTTATTTGGTTGGGGGGACATTATTTCTTGAGTACTTCAACTTGTTTATACAGTAGATGTAAAGAATTAATCTATATGTTTAAAAAATAATAATTCATGAGGATGTAAATAAGTGGCTAAGGTGACCCACGAAATCCATGAACTTTAAACCCCATAAACAAAGATGATACCACAGTAAAACTTCATTATTCAATTTATATACATTTATCTCATACGTGTTGGGGATACAGCCCTATAGATTAACTTGTGCTTTATCCACGTTAGATGCTTTATCAATAGCACTTCTGGTTTTGACATGATCCCTCGCTTCAAGATTTTATTCTATTGAAACTTTTATTTGTGAAAATCATTGCTCTAATAAAATGAATGATAAAGAGCGATTATATTGTAGACTCGTATATGTCAAAGAGGTGTCTTATTTTATCAAGGAACCTGTATTGGCTACTTGAAGTCAGATGTTAACCCCCCCGCCTTTAAACCGTTTTTGGAGAAAGTAAAGCCTAGGCCTAGCAGTTACGTTGTTGTTATAAGATTCCTTTAACAACCTCAATAATGCTTTCTTATATTATACTACCTATGCCTACCTACTAATGTAGGTATAACTTACCATGGATCATCAATGAATCTACAAGTAGGCCCCTAGCCTTACCTAACACGTTTTGTATGCCATCGTCCAAAGAATTCATTTTCACTATCCCATGGTCCTTACAACTTTCAATCAGAAGTTCGTTTGATGTAAAGCTCCAACAAATGTTTTCAAAGACGCAGATAGCAAAAATTCTAAATTTTGAACACAATCTACTTTCTTTCGAGGCATGTCAACTTCAACGGTGCTACGTCATCAAGTTATACGTCATCAATTTGAATTAGCAATCATTCATGTAGTTTCACAGGGGAAGTCTCAAAGTTTTGTTAAGACGAAATTAAGTCCATCGTATGAGATGAATAGTACATCTATAATTGTGTGATTTGATAATGGCTTTATCCAACTCGTTGAAATTGGCAAGCCTCGCGAATATATACACCATTTCAACTCGTTGGATAAAGCCAATATCAAATTACACAATACAGATATCCTCTATGTATTTGTTTCTCTCTTACACCAGCAAAAACAAATTGAACATGAATTTTGCTTTCAATTCTGATTTGACAGCAATGTATGATATTGATAAAATTAAATTACAACACTTCCTTACCATAGCCACATAAGGATTAAGGAAGGTGAAAGCTAGGAGGGCGTGACACCCTATTGTACACACAGTCCCCAAAATAACCCAGAAAATATTCTTCCCAGTGCGGTCAATCAGAAAGCCAAAGACAGGGGAGGCGACTGCTGATATAATGTACACCAAACTGAAATAGATAAAAAAAATTTCATAAGCAAATAAACCAAAAATTAATGTTTTTTACAGGACCTTAAAGAAAGTGAATATCTCATTGCAAAATTGTGGAATATTTATTTATTCAATTAACTTTGGTGCATTCCTCAAGCTTCTGCTTGTAACATCAGTATACTTTAAACCAAATTTTATTTGCGACGATTAATTTTCACGATCAATCCTTTTTTGGTCTGTTGTTAATAGGCAAAGAGACTTTAAGGATCGATTTGCGGCTAGAAATATTCATGAAGACGAGTCTCTCGCGAACCTAACGAAAATTTCTAGCATGCAAAAAAAAGGTGGTTTACAGTATACAGTATATACATGAGCAAATTATTGGAAAGTTCTAGAACTTTTTCTGTTAATCAAAAGTGTACCTGTTCACATTGTTTGCTAAACTTGGATCAAAGCCCCACTTCATCTCAAAGAACACCCTGAAAAAATAACAAATCAACTACACAATAACACTTAGCAATTAAAACGGCATTTCAATAAACAAATAAATTACATATTAATTCAATTATGTTATGAATCATCCCATTTGATTTTAATGTTTTAACAGTCACTGACCTTTAATTTATAGCACTATAGACAACTTAATTAGGTTCTGAATCATTCTTAACATCAATTAAAACAAGAGGCCCATGGGCCTTATAGGTCACCTGAGTATCATGTAACAACTTTACAACAATTGAATTTGGTTCGTGTTTTAAACCAGAGGCCTTGAAATTCACAATTTTGAAAGAGGCACCATGCTTACTCTGTTTACTTAATACCTAGAGGTAGATCAGCTAGAGTAACAAAGAGAAAATGCACTTCCACTTTATAACCAGTTGTGCACCTCACCCCAAAGGAAGCACTGACCCTTTGGCAACATATTTCAAAATTTTGGAAATATCGTCATAAAATGGTTGATTAATACCAAAGAGCAGATTTCGAAGCATTAATTTATTTTCATATTATGTAACACCCCCATACCCCTGACCCAGGGGGCATGAAATTAATCATTTTGCTAGATGCACCTTTCTATTCATAAATATATATACTTGGATCATTGGCATAATACCCAGCAGCAAAGGAATTAATGTATTTTTACTATATAATCAAAAGAGAGAGCCCAACACCAAATGGCAAAACCCCTGAAACAGGGGCCATGAAATTCACTAATTTGGAAGAGGCACTCTTGCTCATTATAACTATATATATATTAAGTTAGTTTATTTAATACCCAGAAGCAGAGAAGAAGATTTTCAAAGAATTAATGCATTTTCACTATATAATCAATAGACCCTGGGGCCATAAAATTCACAATTTCGGAAGAGGCACTCTTGCTCATTATAACTATATATATACTAAGTTAGTTTATTTAATGCCCAGAAGCAGAGAAGAAGATTTTAAAAGAATTAATGCATTTTCACTATATAATTAATAGAGGCCTGTCCTAACACCAGAACCCCTGACCCTGGGGCCATAAAATTCACAATTTTGGAAGAGGCACTCTTGCTCATCATAACTATGTACTTAGTTAGTTTATTTAATGCCCAGGAGCAGAGAAGAAGATTTTAAAAGAATTAATGCATTTTCACTATATAATCAATAAAGCCCCGCCCTAACACCAGAACCCCTGACCCTGGGGCCATAAAATTCACAATTTTGGGAGAGGCACTCTTGCTCACCATAACTATGCATTAAAGTTTGTTTATTTAATACCCAGGAGCAGAGAAGAAGATTTTAAAGGAATTAAAGCATTTTCACTATATAATCAATAAAGCCCCACCCTAACACCAGAACCCCTGACCCTGGGGTCGTATAATTCATAATTTTGGAAGAGGCACTCTTGCTCATCATAACTATGTACTTATTTAGTTTATCTAATACCAAGGAGCAGAAAAGAAGATTTTCAAAGAAATAATGCATTTCCACTATATAATCAATAGAGCCCCGCCCTAGCACTAGAACCCCTGACCCTGGGGCCATGAATTTCATAATTTTTGTAGAGGACTCAATGTTCATTACATTCATGCCAACAGTTTACCTACTTGATGTCCAGGAGTAAAGAAGATTTTTAAAGATTTCATTAATTTTAGTGGTTTTGGCCCCACCCCTCAGGCCCCAGGGGGGCGGGGACCATAAAATTCAAAATTTTTGTTTCCCTTCATCCATAGATGCTATATACAAAATTTGGTTGAAATTGGTTCAGTGGTTTCAGAGAAGAAGCTGAAAATGTTTAAATGTTAACACACGACGCACGACAACAGAAGAAAACAGATAGCAATAGGTCACCTGAGTGACTCAGGTGACCTAAAAATACATGGCTGAGATAAAATAAGGCCTGAATCTCAAGATATTTACTAGAAAATAAATCTCACTTTACTAATGAGATAAAAATTGCATGTTGGCAATTTTGAATACTGCATTCCTGATTTATGAAAATTACTGATTTGTTTAATTTCTAATTCTGGGGTGCAGTATCTGATGGGGAATACTAAGTAGGTCTAGGAAATGATTTATCAAGCACCTGCTTGAAGATGACAGGTTTATAAACCTCGCTATTAGAGAATTACTTTACAAAAATTGGAAAGGAATTTCTTCCGGCATTTCCTCTGAATTGATAATGTTAGCATCACTTTTAAGAAGAGTGCAAAGCAAATAAATTGCACTGGTGTGCAATTTGCAAGCCCAAAAATTTAACCAGACCTCAAGGTTAATATTGATAAGATGTATTTTAAAGTTGATCAATAGATCAGATACAAAAGAAAAGAGACAATTCAATACTATGAAAGTTTTTGAGCATAGTTACAATTGTTAAAGGTACTTGAACACAGATTTGAAGTCAATATTTTCTCTATAATATTACGACTTATATATTTTGATAGCATTTCACACAAAAATTAATTAAAAATCTTGCTTCAGTTAAAAGTTATTAAAACTTCAAATTTTTTGGCGGGTTTGATTGACTCATCCTTGCACTTTCACAAATTTTAACCTTATTCTTAATCCTTAGGAAAAGTGGCAATCTTTTTGTGTATTAATGAGAAATATTAAAACTTTTATCCAGAAAAATAATTTTATTCAGAGTAGAAATGTTAGAAAGCAAAATTCATTCACAAGTATCGTCATTCCGTACTAAGAGTTGCGTACAGAGTTTAGCAAATCAAGCACACTTGTGTTATGTACACAGTTTTGTAAACAGGACTCGATGTTGATGTTTACAATTCACCGGGTGCGTTCAGTCGTCACAGTCTGCTTACCACAACTGCACGGAAGGCCAATATATTGTGAGTTTGTTTTGCTTTCAAACATGTCTACTCTAAATTTTCTGCATTATAGTATTGATATTTTTCATTTATACACAACAAGATTGTCACTTTTCCTAAGGATTAAGAATGAAATTAAATTTGTGAAAGTGCAAGGATGTGTCAATCAAACCCGCCAAAAAATTTGAAATTTTAATATCTAGCTTTTATATGAAATAAGATTTTTAATTAATTTTTGTGTGAAATGCTATTAAAATATATAAGTCGTAATATTATAGAGAAAATAATAACTTCAAATCTGTGTCCAAGTACCTTTAACATAAATATGTAACAATACGGTCAGTTCTACAAAACTAATCACTCATTCATTAGGCCAACTGTTTTATCTAGCCCTGTAAGAGTTGGGAATAATGTAGAGATATACTTACAATCCTAATCCAATAAATGGAAACACTGCTACATAGTACCCCACACATATAATACACAGGAGCCAAAAGGTTAAAGGGAAATACTTCACATCTGTAATCCTGATGGCCTCATCTAAAAAGGTCAAAGGCCAATGATGACATACAAAAACCAATACAAATCCTTGTGACCTTCGCTTGCTGGGAACTTATTTTTAATATGACTTGTAAACTTTTATAATCTTTTTAAATTGAATATGATTTTAAACAAGTATATGTCATTGTCAGAATATAAGAGTCAGAAAATAAAAAGAATTATTTGTTTCGTGAATTTACCATTGTATCCCACGACACATAAGTCAGAGATATTAAATATAAAAAATTATCAGTCTCTCACCTGAGGTTACATTGGCTCTCTTTAGAATTCTGTCTGCTCTTTTATCAAAGAAACTTAGGACAAGTGCACAAATCAAGGAAAATATGCACATAATAGCCCCTAGAAAATAAAAAAAATATAGAGGATATTCAATGTTTTGTTGAATATGGAATTTATTCCACTCGTGGGACAGGATTTTTGATATTTTCACAAGTGCGAAGCACGAGTGAAAATATCAAAAAATCCTGTCTCACGAGTGAAATAAATTCCATATTCAACTACAAAACATTGAATTTTCTGTTTATTACATTTTTAAAAAAAAATCTTTGATTTTTCCTTTGCCTCTGTCTTTTTGTAATACAGTCATAGGCTCGTGACGTTATAGTTGAGCGGTTGAGACGTCATAGCTAAGTGAGATGAAAACACTGTAAACATGGATTTAGCAACATATTTTTGGTAATTTTGACAGTTTTATTCGCTGTCAGAATGGTTTATTTATTTCCATGTATCTTATATTAGGTCAAGGAAGATTTTTTTACAGCAATCTTCATTATGGGAAGGGAAATCGAGAGTTTTCCCGCACTTCTGATATTCGTCACACTGTGACAGGATATCATTTTGATATCCTTTCACACTGTGACAGGATATCATTTTTATTCAATGAATAAATTACAGTATTTCACGGGTAAAATTTAATAAAAAATTGTACTTCATTAATACATAGGGCTCCTAGAAGATGTTACTTGACAACAGGGGATGCTTACTCCTCCAAGGCACCTGATCCCACCTCTGAAATTTCTGGTGCACATTTTTATGCCCTGATTACAGATTTTTATTGTATATTCATAAAATATACATGAAAAAAAATCAACAAATAAATGTAAATGAAATTATAGTGAAACAAAATCTAGTTAAACATTCATATTAATTTTCAAAGTATGATCTCTATCCCACAAAATCAAAAGCTTAGTTAGTTCAAAACTAGTTTTCTTGTCTGAATCCTACATATTCAGATGGGAATAACACTCAAGCACACACTGAATATACCAGGTAAGTACTATGTACTCTTAAAATTAATAGTGGCCAATTCCATGCCACTTCTCAGTTAAAAGTACCAATTGCATACCACTTCTCAGTTTAAAGTATCGATTCCATACCACATCTCAGTTAAAAGTTCCAATTCCATACCACTTCTCAGTTAAAAGTTCCAATTCCATACCACTTTTCAGTTAAAAGTATTGATTCCATACTATTTCTCAGTTAAAAGTACCATTTCCATACCACTTCTCAGATAAAAGTACCTATTCCATACCACTTCTCAGTTAAGATTCCCGATTCATACCACTTCTCAGTTAAAAGTACTGATTCCATACCACTTCTCAGTTAAAACTTAAAAGTACCAATTCCATACCATTCACCAATCAAAAAGCACCAAAACGAAATCACTCAATAATAAAAATTACCAATTCCATAACATTTACCAATCAAAAACATCAATTTCATTCCACTCACCAATCAAAAGCAACATATCCATACCAAATACTAAATCTTTACCACTTATTAAATGAAAAGCACTAAATTTATCTACTTACCAATCATAAGCACCACTCCTAGACTGGTGTATTCATGTTTGAACCCCATGCCACTTATCAACTGGTAGATTGGCTGCATGATGTTCATATTCACAGTACTGCCCTAAAATTTTCATATATGCATATTTAATACTACTGTAACAATACTATTCCCACAATTTAGAAATACATGTATTATGTATTCCTAAGTAACTATTAAAATATTCAAGTACTGAGAAGTAAAGTTATGACAGACAAACACAGATCAGAATTTGCTTGATTGGTAGACATAATCTCCATGATGGAGTGTAAACAAACTTCCAGCAAATCTTTGCTACCCAAGATTCCTCCAACAAAGTGCAACATTATTCAATATATTATTTTAAACCAGTAATACACATAAATTATAAGAAGTTATAGTCATTGCTTAAGACCTGTACATCTTAGAATTTGACCATCATGAAGCTCAAAACTACCATATATACTGGCCACTTACCACCCTAGAAAAACTGAGTTGAAGACCAAACACCATGTTGAGTTCTTTCCCCTGGAACCATTTTACAGCATAAGTATTCTGGGCTACACAGAGAGATTCTCCTCCAATGCTGAAATCAGATTAGATGTTCAACATTAGCTACTGAATTTTTAACTGCCATAGAGAACAAATATTAACCCTTTGTGTGCTGACTTGTTTTACGTGCGCTGTAAAAAAATATCAACAAAATTATCACAATGGTGTACTAAAATGCAAATATCTAAAATTTGACACCCAATTTGCTTGAAATTTGGCAAATATATAGCAAATGTTATGTTTTTTAATCTATACTATTTTTTTTTTAAATCTAATATTTTATGTTGCCATGGTAACCAAATTTTCAAAAAAATTATTTTAAAATAACTTCTTAGCATTTTAACTATATTTTTCAGAGAAAATATTGCACTTTGATGAAAAAAAAAAAATCAATCTCTTTAAAAATTCAATTTTAGTTTAATATTATGCAAAAAAAAAAAAATTAAAAACTCAATGATAAAGTCAATGTTATATATACCATTATATTGTGAAAAGTCATTGTATACTTATCTGAGTAAGGGATATATTCATGTAGGTTTAAGTGAATTCTGATTCAAGTTAATGGATTTTTTTCAGATTTTAACTAAAAAAGAGTATAAATTGAAGATTCAGTTAGCCTGTAAATATAAAACCAGTGATTATTTTAAGAAATATAGGCAACACCTCAAAGAATAATATATCTTGGAGCAAATTGGCACAACAATGAACTAATTGCTGTTACTAGTATTCATTTTCAAATTAAAGCAGTCAATATGTTAAATAAATTAAAAAAAAAAATAAAATAACATTACATAAGATATGGTCTTATTTTCTAATGACTGGTATCTAACAGCCCTAAATATACCTAGTAACAAATCTTTTTTTTTTAATTTAAAATTTGCTTTTATTGAAGAAAAGTTCCGTGTTATTTGTAAAGTTTACCATACAGTACTTCTCACTCTGTAAGAAATATGTGGCATTTAAAAGTTCCTGGCTGGCAACAATAATTGCCAGCCACTTTAAATTTTAAAAATTTGAGCACCTTTAACAGTCATTTATAATGTTTTCAAAAATGACCGTTCAATGTGGTTCTGGTGAATAACAGTTTTGATTTTTTTCAATTGATTTTAGTTAATGATGGTTCAGATATGTACCATAATATAAAAGAAATACTTTTAAGTTTATGGTCTAATGGTATGGGTCATGGATATACCACTTCTCAGTCAAAAGTACCCATTCCATACCACGTCTCCTTGTTACAAAGTACCCCTCTGGATTTGCAAGTGAAACCACTAATAAGAATTTGGGTTGTGTCTGCAAGGATAAAGATAACTTTAAGGAGGGATATGTAATGGTTGTGCTATGGGTATTCATACCACTTGAAGCTCCTGAGTTTAAAAGTACGTAGTTACCATACATTTTCTCCTTTCCTATTACACAAGTTTTAAATGTGCCTGAATTTTTACTTCAACAAAAAAGTTAAAACTTAAAAGTACCAATTCCAAATTACCATAATTTTAAACAGAACCTGGGTGAATTTAAAACAGGGCAAAAGCACCAAAACGAAATCACGAAAATAACCCTGTATAAGTAATGAAATTTATATTTTACACTATGGGATTTCTTTGTATTCTTAGTAACTATTCATATTATAAACATATCCAAAATGTAATCATTTACCAGGAATCATTTTTGAAAAAAAAAAAAATTTCAATTTGAAAAAAAATTCCAGCAAATCAGCCTTTTTTCTGTATTCATTTACTGTTAAGCAACATGGAATCCTTGGGCCTTATAAATTTGTAAACTAGAGGACATATTACATATTAGTAGGTGAAAACTTGTACAGTGTGTACTTTCTTTACCACTTATTACAAATGATTCGTTATAAAGAAATCAATTAAATTTAAATTGGGTATCCTATATCTGTAAATTCACAATATTCGCTTTAGTACTAACCACTCCAGTCTTTATTGTAATTTACTGAACAGATGTACATGCAAGTCCATACGATTTACAAATTACTCATTCTAAAGACCCATGCAAAAATGACACTTAATTTTAAACTGGTAGATTTGGTGAATTTTTTAATTTTGTGTGTGCATGTATAGGTTCACAGTACTGTTTTTGGTTTTTAATAAAAATTTTCATATATGCTTTTTTTCTGCAAAATATTTTTAAACTTGGTTTTAAAAAAATTCTGATATATGTAATACAAATTATTTTCACTTACTAATTAGGTCCCATGCAAACAATTTAGAAATACATATTTTGGTTTTATGTATTCCTCATCAAGGAAATAAAAAGTATTTTAACTATTAAAATATTCAAGTAGTCATTGAGAAGTCAGCACTTCAAAATTTTTTCATCACTTTTTACCATTTTCATGTATATGCACAAACACAGCATCAGAATTTGACACTATATAGAAAAAATGATTGGTAAAAATTTTACAATAATCTGTTATAAAAAAATATTTGAAAGTTTTCCATGATGGAGTGTAGAACAAACTTCCATGATTGTCAATTATAAAATCATTTGTCATGAATTAATTTTGCTGACCAAAAATATGTTGATGGATATATATTCTCTATATATTCCTCACTTATTAACAATAAAGTGCAACATTATTCACATATATTATTTTTTAAACCAGTACATTTTTACACATAAAAAAAATTATAAGAAGTTATAGTTCAAATGCTTTTTATTAACAAGACTTCAAATTATTTTTTGTTAACCTTTATTTCAAAGCAAAGCTTGATTTACATATGAAGCTGCACAGAAAAACTATCTCGCGCATATATACTGTAATGCCTACTTACAAAACACCAAATAAACAAATAAACTACCGTATGTCCAAAATATAAAACTTTGCCGACCATGTAAGCTCTCGATATGCTTCAGACTGAAGTTCAGTAGCATGTGCATCCTACTTTCGTTTTAACAGGAAGAACTTCGCAAGGTTAAGGTCAAGTCAAGTTAACCAGAGTTTTTCTGCTAAAATATCGAAAATTTCTAAGTAATTTTAAGTCTACTAACACAAATTTACTAGAATTCTTGATTATTAACTATTTTTTGGATTTACCATTTTACAGCATAAGATATTTATTCTGGGTTTCCAAATATACACAGAGAGACCTTCACTTTAATTCACAATTTAACCAATGCTTAATTACCTAAATGTGTTCAGATTAGATGTTCAACATTAGCTACTGAATTTTTAACTACCATAGAGAACAAATATTAAGGGTGTCTTTCTGTCATGAAATTAAAATGTAATTCTACATTGCATAGCATGGTTTGACAAATCCTAATACATGGTGTAAGTTAGACTGGCCTGATTAAAGTTGTAGACTAGATTTGAACCTGGAACCTCTTGCTACCTTAGTAGCTGTTCTCTACCACATAGAGCCAATCTTCCCTGTTATTAGTAATGTCAACTTACCCAAAAACAAATCTTCCCACATTCATAAGCCATACATGGTTAACCAGAGCACCTGCAGCAAACAGCACCTGTAAATAAGAACCAGCATCGTAAAAGCATATAAGGTAAAGACATGTCAGTTTTTTCAGTCACTTATTCTTGAAACTACATTTTGCTTCATTCCCATTCCCTATTCCTGATCATATTTTTTACATCATTTTCACCAAGAAAATCAAATTAAACAAATGAATAAACTTTCATATTCATGCTTATTTGTCATCAATAATGCCATTATATTTGCTAACTGTAAAATTGTCTGATCTTATTGCTAACTATTTTTAGGAAACAATTAAGATCAATGGCTAATTTTTTTTTTACTTATTCAAAGATTCAGTTGATAAATTAATTAATACATAAAATAAGAAAATGGTTACCTGACCCGCGGTAACAAACAGGGAGAAAATGATGGCTCCCATCCTGACCCCAAACACTCGGTCAATAAGGAACCCCCCAAAGAAGCAGAGAATGACGTTAGGCCAGGAGTACCAGGAGTAGAAGCCCATGAAGGTGCTCTCTGAGATGTCCAGGGCCTTTATCATCGTGTCCTGGAGAGCAGCGGGGTTGTCATAGCAGAAGTAGCTCCCTACAAAAATATACAAAAAAACTTTAATTTTTTACATCTAGTAACATAATTTATAATCTGTCAATTGCCTAGTCACTCAACCAATGTATTAATTTCCTTTACCTGACTTGACTAGTATTCCCCCTGGTGACCTTTTCCCCATTCAAAGTCACTTCATGGTCAAGGTCAGGAGGATAAATATATATACACTCCAGGTGTTCAAAGAAAGGTTTTGTCAAATGGAATAAACATGATTCAACCTTTCTAAAGTTAAAGCTGAACACGACTCGTAAAGAGGCATACACCATTTTCGATATCATTACATCTGATACATCAACACCAGGGTATACTCTTCAGATTTGTCACACCTGACTGCTTTATTGTCATGGGTATCGGCATGGAATGGCGACCCGTGTTCATGCTGGTTATCTTGCATTACCTTTGTTTACATTTTATTGCAGTTACATGTATCTGTGTTTGTTTGTTTACTGCACTGACCTGTACAACTATAATTGTAAGTTTCTTTAGTATCTTACTTTCCTGCATTAGATGAAGTATTACATTATTACTGTCGCTACCGATTTCTGTATAGCATACGTCCGTCTACACCAGTGTCGACTGATTACACTGAAAAGAGAATAAGTCCTGCCCTTTATATAGGGGTCTGCAGGTATAGCGATTCTCTGAACAAAAATGGCGGACACATGACTTTTATGAATAGTGTTCAGCTTTAAGGCAAAGATTTTAGCCTTAATTTGCAGACAAGCAGACAGGCAAAACAAACACTATATACCACAAATCTTTTATTACTGAAGCAGTATTTTATTATATTCCTGTGCAGTGCCATATGTAATCATTAGCCTCAGTCAATTGTTGCCACAAAAATTAATAAATTGAACTAAGTACTACATGTAATAACTCATTCTCTGGTCTTTATACAATATAGATTTACATGTCATCATAAATCTGTTCAAAAAACTTAAACTTGGAATGCTGATGTTGAGGGAAATACTTGTGGCATATCATGTGTTAACTTCCTGACTTGTTGGGGTGAACTGAAATGTCTACCTATCTATCATGTCTTGTTCAAAGATATATATGGTAGAAAATAAATAGTTTTACTTAGCCCCAACACAAGTTCACAAAAAATATCTATAAACCTTAGTAAATCAAAATCATGACTTAAAGTCAGCTGTTCATACACTTTATAGCTGAGTATTTCATGTTACTGTGTATAGGGATTAGTCATCCAAATCCAAATAGAGTACCATTCAGTCACTTAAAATTCTCAAGAGGTGATGTTAAGTCCACACAGCAGTCAGCCTGGTATTGAGTGTTTTCCATTGAGGTGATTTAAGCAAGAGTTTTCCCCCATGGTCAGTATGTTGGTCAACATTCCCAGATATAATATTCAACCAAGTTCAATTTGATATATACTGGTTTAACTGAGGTAAAGATAACACTATTTTTCTTATGAATGTACCTTTGTTAAAGCCTCCCATACGGAAAAAAAGGGCAAACAAACTACTATAACAAATTACTAACAAACTACTATGGTTTGAAAGTAGTTTAATAGTATAACAAATCACATGCAAATGAGCTAACAAACTATACTCTAACAAACTACTTTCAAACCACTCTTAGTAACAAATCCATCAGCAAAACACTAGATTTGAATTTTCCTTTACAAATCCACAATATACAGTCACATTTTGAAGTATTTTAACTGTTTCAGAGTAAAGTTTAGCCAATGCAAGTTTTTCCCTTTTGAATATACTGCCATTCCAAGTCATGTCCATGTTCTTATCTGCACTTCCCATAATCCAATGCATAACTGATCTAAACTAGTATAGGAATTATAGGTCAATCTGAAATTGAATAAAAACCCAAAGCTAGTAAAAAGCATACACATCCACATTCACAGAAGGTTATATGAATTACTGTAGTCCAGCCTTAGTTATTTTAGGTAGAAAGGAACTTCATGACATGCATTAAATACCTCTTCTGTATTTAGATCCATCTTTTAATAATGTAAATTGCTGCTTTTTCCAGTCAGGAATCTTACAAAACGATACTAACAATTTGAATGTCCCTTCACCAGTTCCTTTGTTTCTGACCTGCTTGTGGTTTGAAAATTGGCAAATAGGCTAACACCGGATGTAAAGATTAAGCTGTTCTTGGAAACTTCAACAATTCTAGATAATTCAACCCTAAACATGTCTGTAAAGTAATTTCCCATGTGGTTAGATACAAATGCTATACTAATAAAACACTGTTGCAAGACACCAAGTCTAACAAACTATAAAGAAATCACAATCAGCAGAAATGAAAGACTAACAAACCACTTTACTTATTTTTAGAAACAGTGCTTTGTTTGTGCTTCATTAAATGCTATACTATCAAACTACAAACCACTAAAATATAGTTTGTTGGTAGTTTGTTGATGGTTTAATAGTAGTTTGTTAAAAATCTTTTCCGTTTGGGATTAATTCATAATTTTAAGATTGTAAATATTTTCCCCCATATATTTCTTGCATGCATGTTTAAAATTGGTTGCTCAAAGAGAAAAAAATCACTACTTTGCTCAACAAGTACAAGATGGTGGCTAAGGGGAATAACTCCGAGGCAAAATATATGTCATAGGAAAACGGTCCATTATTGTTACAATAAATGGGAGGGGTGCAGACAAGAGATCAGTTATCTACCAGACATCTTTGTTATACCACTATTTCTAGTGACAGTAACAAACATTAATTTGTGAAAAAAAATTGCCCTTGTATATTATTTAGTGACTAAAATGTTAACGTTATAGTAAACACCCTCTCTTACATGTACTTCCCTCTTTATCATGGAAAGAATGTGGCATTTCATTTCCTACTCTGTTACAATAGAAGAAATATAACATAAAAGTAAAACAAGTGTGGGTTGAGACAAGACTGACAAGAAAATGAACTGGAAAAGGACAAATGATACATGTAATGTTGAGTTCAGGAGAATATTTTAATAGGAAATATAAAATTTATGGAAACACTAATCTATACTAGCTGGTATAATGGTTTATGTGAATAAAATGAGATGAGAAAACAGCTGTTATGCAGTCTCTCATAGAGAAAATGATGTCAGTAAATATTTGTAAACATTTATTATTAGAGTGTTTGATTGACATTTCTGTGTGGCTCCAATGTACAAATTTAAGTGGAGTGCCTTTTTATCAAATTAATTATTTTAATTTTCATTATTCTATAGATCAAGTGTTAATTTCCTATCAACTTTTCAATTTTCAAACTCACAAAAAGTTAACAACAGAATAAACATGTGTGTAGACTAGACTTTATCTATGACCTGCAACATAGTTTGGTGGACGATATATCTTGTTACTTTTAATGTGACAATTATGCACATCTTTAACCATGAAACTAAGCTTCTTTGTTAAATTTTTTGATGAGCTATGGCAATATTTTTTTTAATAAAATCAGGATTAAAAATGGCATGGCATGGCACTGTTTGTTAATTGAATGCACATTTGTGTACTGACTTTGATATGAAATGACTTCATCCAAATGGGAAATACTGAAATAAGCCAGATTATTTATTGCACAAAAGTAAATTTCATGCACTATTTATATCAAGTTCAGCACAAGGTCTTTATTAACCATGTAAAAGCATATAATTCATTGATATTTTCTATTTTACTTCTTAATAAATCTATTATTTTTTAATATTATGCCCTTCAGGCATTATAGAATTTGATCATGTGATCGACTTCATGCCATATCCCAATGGAACTCTAAATATGATACAGTGAGGTTGAATACATACAGGAAAAAATTCGCACCCGTGAAGAAACTTTCACTTTCTAACTCTGAATTACTAAACCAATTTTACCCATGCAGGTTTGGTTTCATTTGATGCAGGAAGATGGGGGGCACACATGCATTCGGTGTACATTAATATTTCCCCCTTCCACTTTCTATGAACTCTTACCAAAGCTGAGGAAGCACATGACAAGGATTAGGTTCGATGGAGTGCTTTTATCATTTATCCTCCAAAACTTCTTCTTCATCATCTTCAACCGCTCCAATGTCCTACTCCGTCATTTTTAAATAAACTTAAAAAACTTTTGTGATTCGCTAATCCATTCTTAGCTGCTCTCTCAACTTTTCTGTACTTGTGACACTCACTCATGCGTTATGGGCACAGTGTAAAGACCTGATGAGTGTAATGACCTGATTGACCTGATGAACATAATTTCAAAAAGTAAATGATAAAATACCAAATAAAATAAACTTTTATTATTTAATTTTAAATATCATGTCATTTTCTTTTATAAAACCAAAAAAATAAAATTCTATAAGTCATTTATTTGCATGAATGAGAGATTATTCCAATCAATTCAGTGTAATGACCTGATATTTAGTGTAATGACCTGATGAACGTTTATCTTGTTTTATTTAAAATATATCCTTTTAAAAACTTTTTTTTCTTAAATTTTGGTTACTATTTGTATAACGTTTTAGTAAAAACATAAAAATTGCTTATATTTTGTTTTTACAAACTTTTATATTCATTTCAATTTTGCTACAGTGTAATGACCTGATATGGAATGACCTGATCTATATTGACAAGATAGTTTATTTGCGGATCAGAAGATATATACCTGGTTAATTATTTTTTCAATCATTTCTTAATGATTGAATAGAATATACAGTTCAGTCCTTCTTGCATAGAAAATTTTTTAACACAATTCATGTTGAGATTTTTTTATGTGCAATGGGATAGTGTTAGATGCAAACAATAAGGAATTATATTATCATAACAAATAAAATCAGCAGCCAAAATTATTTTTATAACTTTATTTAGAGTTTCTCTTTACATCTTAAAATTTTATGACTTGTGCCACACGTGGTTTTTGCCAAATTGAATAAATAAATAAAATACTTCACATAGAAAAAACAAAAATAACATGGCGTATTGATTACTTAAAAAAAAATATTAAGAGTAATTTACATGATATTTATGTTATAAATTTTTCCCTTTGCAATTAAAAAAGCCTTACTTTTTATAGTTAAAAGTAGCTTTTAACTGTATCTGATATATTTAAATTCCAAGTCAGAAAAAAATCTGCTACATGCAGTTTTAAATCTGGGATATCTATGAAATTGTGTATTTTACAGGAAAGTCCTATCTTTTTATAAAGTATTTTTTTTTTAACTTTTATTTTAAAAAGTTGAACATATCAAAAATAATATATGACTTAAAATGAAAAGCGATTAACACATATGATTAAAATAATCTAAATACATCTAAGAAAAGGAGGAATGCTACTGTTCTTTTTTCTGTCTAAGACAAACTTTTTAAAGAGAAGTCTTAATTATTCGTTCTTGTAATTTACATGCTTTAGATTTTTAAAAAAAATTTTCCTTACATTACTGAACTTTATTTTAGTCTTTTTTTTTCAAAAAAATGTCGATGTTGAAAAATGAAAGTGGTTTAGTTTTAAGTATGAGAAATTAGTTATAAAGTATTTTTTTAATAAAATGTATGTATCTTACATTTTCTATATTTTACACATGTGTGTATGTTAACAAAGTTAAATGTGTTTTGTGTTTGTTTATCAATTCACACGAGTCTTGGTTTACCATGTTGACTGGGATTACACAGGTGACATACAGAAGCCATATCCAGGGGATTATAATTGGGTAGGGGATATACACATGTACAAACAAGGGGGCAGTGTCTCTTTGACACTATGAATTTTCAATTCATTATTCTCTAAGAAAGGGTCACTTTAAAAAAAATAAATCAAATAAAATTTTTTAAAAAATATGCAAGGGTTTAAAAAAACGACATTTAATTTATAAGTCTTTAAATGAATTGAAAAACACAACAAAAATTAAATATTATACATGTATGTGGAATATTGCAAAATATTTATTTTCATTAATGTGCTTTTTTTTATCATTATTGAATTCTTAAATTATTAAAAATACATTGGCTAATTATCTATACATTCATTCTTTAAACAGTAGAATTTGAGATGAATAAGGTCATATCTGACATTGTCTTTAAAATTAAATTTTCCTATATGCCAGTATAAATGATAAACATTACACACTTGCAAGCTCTATATATACAGTAAATATGAAGCTTAATATTTAATTTTATTTTTTGTAAAAAGATAAATGGGTTTATTCCCTGAATGGCTACTGGAATAAAACAACAAGTAATTATCACACTCAATTAGAGACGATGGACAGTTGACTTACCTGTATGAATAATCTACCATATATATAAAATAAAATGGAAATTTATTTCAGTATTTAATAATTTGAGCACTATATAAATATTTTGTATACATATTTTTTAAATTAATAAGAAATCCAACATAATTATTAAAAACTATAAATTATTTGTAAAGTTCTATTGATTAGCAGCATTGATTTTCACATTGTTGAGATAACACATTTTCACTTTCATAAATACATATTTACAATTTATTTAGTCCATTTCCATATATTTCTTTGCAACTAAAGGATTGCTATGCAAGGTGAAGAAGTTCATAAACTTCATCTGTATTTTATGATGATTTAATAGAATGTTTTGATAATTAAAATGATAAATAAATAAAATAAATTAAACAAAACTTTATAGAATCACTTTTTTTATCATACATAAAATTATATTATTTTAAGAAGCATAAAAAAACATTTGTGTTAATTTATTTTTGAAAATGTAGCACAAAAAGGGGCACAATCATATATCTAGCAATATATAGATTTTAATGTACAACACGTGTGGTAGCTGCAATAGGGCATGATAATTTTTAAATAAAATAAATTAAACAAAACTTTATAGAAACACTTTATTTATCCTCATACATATATATTTATATTATTTTAAGAAAAAAACCCACTTGTGTTAATTAAACTAAAAGAGTTTATCTACTTATATTTATTTATATTTCTATTCAGTATATTTTGGAAAATAAAAAAAACCCTCTTAATTAAAATAAAATTGAATGAATATATCTGATTTATAAAATATTGCTTATCCAGGTAAACACAGGTAAGTCTACCTGTACCCCTTAGAGGGCCCCTTAATTGAGTGTAATAATTACTTGTTGTTTTATTCAAGTAGCCATTCGGGGAACACACCGATAAATGCATGAAAGTATGTGTAATTACTGAAAACTCAATTTTTATCTCACAAGCATGTAAATATGTTTTGTGTCTTTGAGATCCTGCTTTCCATACAAGATTTATGTCATTGGATTCGGTAATTGGAGAAATATTTGATTATAGAAAAATATCTCCAAAAAATATCAGGTCATTGTAAAATTATTGATTTGAACAAATGTCTTTTATTGTAATAAAGATTACACAAAATGTTTCAACACAAGTTCCAACAACTAAATTAGAACTCAGGTGGTTCTCAATTGAATTGTAGCACAAATGACTGTAAGTCTTGAGGGGGAAAAAATCAAAAATTAGCGCAAACAAGTTTGTTTTATATATATTCATTACATGTTCATTCATTGTATAAATTATTCAAGTTTTTGTGTAAGACAAAAATGATTAACGAAGTATATCAATTCATTCAAAAGAATAAGTTTTCAGAAGAGAAATATATCAGGTCAAAGAAATTAAAATTATCAAGTCACGTCAAAGTCAATATTTTCAGAAATTGCTGAAAGGTTGCAGTAATTCATAAACATTAATTACGTATTAGTTTTCTAGAACTATATTACATGTACAAGTCAAATTCAAAATAAATCAAACAATTATATGCAAGATAATTTACTTAGGATAAATCCATCAGGTCATTCTTAATCAGGTCATAACACGTTGAACAGGGAAAGTTGCTTAATAAACCTTAAAAAAATTCCAATTTATAAAACTCAATACTTTAAGAAAATAATTGACTGAAACATATATTAATTTAGTATTACACCAATACCACAACATTTTTAAATTATAGGGGAAAACGTTCCATCAGGTCAATACACTAGATATCAGGTCTTTACACTCTTTCGAATGGGTTAAACATCAAATAAATCTCATATAACACCCTGAATTACAAAATTTTGTGACCAGATTGTAAATTATATTAATATTAACAATTCTGAAAAAGATCTTTTCCAAATTCTTTCTGTAAAATAAGTAAATAGCATTTTATATCTCATCAGGTCAATCAGGTCATTACACTTATCAGGTCAATACACCGTGCCTGCGTTATGGTCACGAGACTTCTTAAAATAGATTTTATAATCTCTAAGTCGAAGTATTAATGGAAGATATAAGCTATATTGATTCATTAATCATGTCTTAAAACACAGTTAAGTATAAATGTAATAACTGTTGTAAATAAAATATTTATATTGCAATAAATTTCATTCATACTGTTTTGTTTTTAATTTAGAGATTTTCTCTGAGTTTCCGGTGTAAACTTCCGCTTTGATCTCATGAAAAAGAAACGAGAAATTTAAAGCTGTTTTGTGCATTTTTCTGCTAGGCAGAATGAGTTCTGCGAGCAAGGTACTGTTAAATTAACTATGTTTATATTTAAAGTTGTATATTGTACTGCATGTATGTAAATGATTAATTCATTTGTAAGCAAATGGGGGGGGGGGGGCAATGTTGATCATATAGCGTATCCTTACAATGCATTGTTAATTTAAATCTTTTGTTTTATTAAGGTTGGTGAAATATTTACTGCGGCAGGTGCTGCTTTTACTAAATTAGGAGATCTTACTCTGCAGCTTCACCCAACAGCAGAACAAAGCCCATCCAGGTAAACAAAAAAATATATCATGCTTTCTTCTCCCATATTTTGTTATTATTAATATAAACTAGTTTGAAAGAGGAGAAATATTTGAAAGTTTCATAACCATCTTTCATTTGCCAATATTTCTTTCCACTACCAATTAGACTTAAAGTATTTATGTAAAATTAGCTGCAGAACTGTAGCTCTCAGAAAAATATCTATTGACGAACCGGAGAGCTACATTGCCACCCATTGTAAAAACTGTATATTTATTGTGCACAAAAAAGTGTTTAGAGATTTTATCTGTTCTATATTTCTTGTCCAATTTGGTGCTGAGTTAGACCAACAGAGCTGACCGATGTGCAGTGCCTCTGACCAGTCTGATCCTATTTTTTCTACACCGGACTGGAGTGTCTTAATCTGAAGTCTTTGTGTTCAGTTTTTCAATCTGTAATATTTTGACATATTCATTTCAATGATTGATATAAGTAAAAAAAATATTGCACAAAGTTTAATATGTAAACGAATGTGATAAAACCTCATGGGCAGGGGTCTAGAATTATGCTTTCCCGTTGCCTGAGGTGAGTAAAAATTCATACAGGAAAGTACGATCGTGGGTCATGCTCACCCACTCGGGAAAGTAAAAATGAATGACAGTAGACACTTATGTTGTTGAAAGTTGTTCTGTTCACGAGTTTTGATGAAAATTGATTTAGTTAGTGCATTGTGTGAAGCAGTATGAAGGGTTTCCTGTCAATTAAATGTACATTATCACTACCGGAAATACTTGTTTGCTGTATAAATGAAAAACCGAATATGGTACTCTTTCAATTTCCCGGAATTGATACGGACGTGATTTGAGGGCTTGAAATTTAAATGATTAATGTTAGAATTAACGAAATATATCTTATAATCCACTGAACAATAATTTTGACTTTAAAAATACAATTCAATATAGCATACAGTGAATTAATATATCTATATCAAAAATACAATACAATACATGTATAGCATATTTATATTTGTAGTATATCAGAGACATACCGGTAAATAGCATAAATATTTTAACTGGGGGAAAAAATATTCACATTTTTGAACCATGGGGAAAATGTTAGTCTGTAAATGGATATATAAACATAATGTCATTTTAAATCTTAAAACTTGATTCATGTTTTTGTTGGGCAAGTGAATTTTTTTGGCGGGCAAGTGAAATTTATTGTATCACTTGCCCTTGGGCAAGTGAGTTATAAAAAAAAATTCTAGACCCCTGATGGGCCTTATCAGTATTATTCGTGAGGTTCCTCATAAGAGACATGTTTCACTTTTCATGCCCCCCTTCGAAGAAGGGAGGGCATATTGCTTTGCTGCTGTCTGTCGGTTGGTCTGTCGGTCTACTTAGTTTCCGTTCATTTTCTTCACATCCCTTGCACATACTGAAATTAAATTTGGTATGCAGATATATCAGATGAATGTCTAGGTCAAGTTCTGTTTTGGGTACCATTGCGCCATTTTGGACAGAGTTATGCCCGTTGGACTTAGAAAAATTCCAATTATTTGCAGTTTCCGTTCATTTTCTTCACAGAGGTTACACATACTGAAATGAAATTAAGTATACAGATTTGTCAGATGAATATCTAGGTCAAGTTCTGTTTTGGGTACGACTGCACCATTTTTGACAGAGATATGCCCCTTGGACTTAGAAAAATTTCATTTATTTGCAGTTTCCATTCATTTTCTTCGCAGAGGATGCACATACTGAAATGAAATTTAGTATACAGATTTATCAGATAAATATCTAGGTCAAGTTCTGTTTTGGGTAGGATCTCACCATTTTTGACAGAGTTATGCCTTTTTGGACTTTGAAAAATTTCATTTGGTGGGGGGGGGATAAGTGTTTTACAAACATCTCTTGTTAACATAAAGTTTTACGTTCTGACAAAATTTGGTTCTGTCCTGTGTGTTCATTGATTACACAGGACCAAATGTCCTGTGTGGTCAAAAAAACTGTTTCATAGACTGGATACAACCCATAATATGTGAGAAATGAAAATGAAACAAACTGCCTGTAATTACACTGTTTACAATTGTTTGTTTTAGTGGAAAATGGACTCCACATGAGGTAGATATGCTGAAGAGTGCCGTCAAACGTTTTGGGGATGATCTGGACAATATTAGTGAAATTATCAAAACTAGAACCATGTAAGTCATTTGTTTGAACCTGCAGGTAGTGATTTTTACAATTTCTTTATACCTTCTGTTTAGCTTTAGTTGTTTTGACATCAAATTTATTTCTGGTTTTGTTGTATTAATGAGAATTTTATTATGTAAGTCATACCATATATTAAATACTGTAAATCACTTTTTATTCGCGAGAACTTTATTTTCGCGTAATTACGCGATACAGTGTGCTCGAGAAAATTTAATTCTCTCAAATAATAGTATTCCTTAAGATTATATAGAGCAATAACCACAATTCGTGAAAATTTTGTCTCGCTAATCAAGAGTCAATGACTATCTCGCGAAAATAACGTGTCGCGAAAATAAAGTGATCTACAGTACATGTGTATTGTAAAGATCTACACATGTGAGAAAATAGGAAGAGAGAATTATTGTAGATTTAAAATTTATTGTTATTGGACTAATTTATATTAATTTCCTCAAAGTAAAAAAAAATGCCATTTTCCTCTTCATGATAATATTTAGCTGTGAGTTCCTCTACACAACATTTCTTCCTCAAGAAAAAATTATTTATTACAGTAAAAATCAATTGCTGTTTAAAATTTAGTTCTCAGATTAAGACGCAGATGAAGAGGAAAGCATACGAAGATGCAGGACTTCCTCAGCCAACAGAACCATCTCCCAAAAAACAAGCTGTGAGAGCAGAAAAAACGCCACAGGTCACCGTAACAACTGCCACCGCCAGCTCATCTGTAGAATCTCAACCTAAAAAACAGCCACAAAATGGTAAAGTCAACCTTAAAAAACAGCCACAAAATGGTAAAGTCAACCTTAAAAAAACAGCCACAAAATGGTAAAGTCAACCTAAAAAACAGCACAAAATGGTAAAGTCAACCTTAAAAAAACAGCCACAAAATGGTAAAGTCAACCTTAAAAAACAGCCACAAAATGGTAAAGTCAACCTTAACAAACAGCCACAAAATGGTAAAGTCAACCTTAAAAAGCAGCCACAAAATGGTAAAGTCAACCTTAAAAAACAGCCACAAAATGGTAAAGTCAACCTAAAAAACAACCACAAAATGGTAAAGTCAACCTAAAACAGCCACAAAATGGTAAAGTTGATCACATATTCATACTAGTATAGTAGGCATGGTACACTTCAGTTGTGACATTTTCTGCAGTTTTTGGATTCCAAATACATGTATCTATTGTCTTGTTTGCAAATCAGTCACATGAATGTTTGAATTTAGAGGATTTGAATTGAAGTTCAGTTCAAATAAATTATAATATGAATTGTAGATGTAACACTAAGTGCCCTGAATGCTCCAGAGAGTGATGTGGACATTGAAGGAGACTCTTCATCATCAAAACGTTTAGATTTTGATTCTGGTGAGTTGTTTTTATTTCTTATACAGTGTTGCCCAGTTTACAAGACACCAAAAATCTTAAGTTTTCACCTCCACAAGATATTTTAATTTAGGATTCATTTAAAATTGTGTAAATTTGACTGAATAATCAAAATAATTGTTTACAGCATGTAATCAAAATTAACCAATAGCATCAGAGAGAAGGCAAAGTGAATTTGTTACTAATGTCCTTGGCCATTGATGTTGTTTTTTTTAAATTAAGCTTCTTTTATGCTTATTATTTCAAAGGTTTTTTTGAATTGCTACCATATATGAAATAAAGTATATATACATGTATAATTAAAAAGGCATCTTTCATTTTAGACATAGCATCCAATAGAAAATTTTCCTACTACATGTATCTAAAAGAGAAAAAATTCTTTATTTTAAAGAAAAATTGCAAATTTTTACCATATATGAAATCAAAGTATATACGTTGTTTTCAAAAAGGCATCTTCATGTCCACCACAAAAAGCAAAATATCATATACTTGAACAAAAATTTTCCCAAATTGCATGTAACTAAAAGAGAATCCTTATATTAAATGAATATTGGAAGGACAAATTTTTACCCTCTGATTATTTTCACAGACTATGAAATCTATATTATGTTCTGATACTCCTGCATCCCAAGTTCACCCCTACAAGAGATGGACCAACGACTAGTGGTCATGTAATTGAAACATAAATACTACTTCTTGCTTTGAATTAGTTAATTTTTTTTACACCTTCTTTCCTTAAATAGGGAAAGTTAAAGTAAAACAGGAAGGAATTCTGTGAAAGGTTTTATTACAGTTACTGCTATTTGACACTAACTTGTTTCCTTCTTAACTAACAAACCATAGCTTTTCTATTTTATATTGTTTTTAACATTACTTTTTTTCCATTTTTTTTTTTTTAGAAAAGTTAAAAACAAAGTGTTACTTATGTCATTGGATAATTTACTAAAAAAATTATAAATCCAGTAAGGATTAAATCATCAATCTAAGTTAAAGAAAGCTTGTAGTTTACTCGATAGAAACTGATTTACCTTAATCAAACTGCTGTAGATCACCTTAAAGAATAATTTCAATCATCATTATAATATTAATTTATCTTTTTTTTTTTTGAAGATGTTGACTCCAGTATGCTATGAATCAAGGGAGAGAACTCAAAACCGGCAGCAATATTATCCAAAACATCATGTTCTTGGTGGCATTTACAGATATTTTATCTAGTGTTTGACATTCTGATCAAAGGATTGTACATTTTATTGATAATGCATCAAACCAGGTTTTATAGTTGTAGCAAAGTGCTAACATTAGTATCATTTAGCTTAGATTTTGTTTGTCCCCTCCCCTTTTATGCCCCCCTTCGAAGAAGGGAGGGCATATTGCTTTGCTGCTGTCTGTCGGACGGTCTGTTGGTCCATTTAGTTTCCGTTCATTTTCTTCACAACCGTTGAACATACTGAAATGAAATTTTGGTATACAGGTATATCAGATGAATATCTAGGTCAAGTTCTGTTTTGGGTATGATTGTGATATTTTTGACAGAGTTATGCCCCATGGACTTTAAAAAATTCCAGTTATTTGCAGTTTCTGTTCATTTTCTTCAGAGAGGTTGCATATATATAAATTTAGTATACATATATATATCAGATGAATATCTAGGTCAAGTTTTGTTTTGATTACAATCACATTTTTGACAGAGTTATGCCCCTTGGACTTAGAAAAATTCCAATTATTTGCAGTTTCTGTTCATTTTTTTGGCAGAGGTTGCACATACTGAATTTAAATTTAGTGTACAGATTAATCAGACAAATATGTAGGTCAAGTTATGTTTTGGGTATGATCGCTCCATTTTTGAAAGAGTTATGCCCCTTTGGACTTGGAAAAATTTTAATTTGGGGGGAGGGGGGCATAAGTGTTTTACAAACATCTCTTGTTTGACAGACTTCACTGAGGTGCTATTTTTGCAGTTGTGTTTCCCAAGGAAAATAATAAAGCTTTGGAAAAGTTCCATACTAAGCATTCTTTGTTATTTTTGTCAAACATTTTGTTCATTTAGTAACCTTTATTTCTGAAAGAAACTGATTATTTTTGAGTATGTGGATAGTATTTTTAGTTTTATTGTTTTCATTTAATATATATTAAGTACCATATATATATATATCTTATGTAGGTAGTTGTATTGTAAATGTTTTACATTTTAGAAGCTGTTATGTTATTAAAGACTGTGAATGTGTTTCTGAGTTAGGTGTTACATTCAGAGTACAAATGTATGTGACAAAATGTGGGTCATTCATAAAAGGAAAGAATGCCTGCCAATGATTTATTGCCTCAGTTTTTAAGGTCATCTGAGCCTAGGGTTTAATTGGGCCTTTCTGATAAGTTTTTTTTTTCTGATCTCTGTCATTTTGTTGTCATTGTCTTAAACTTTTTGAGCTCACTTGAGTTGAAGGCTTGAGTGAGTTTTCATGATCAGTTTCTCAAGAACAGTAAAGTCATGATCAGTCATGCATGTATTTATGTGGAAGAATTCTGAATGCTACTTGTAACATGTATCTCTTCCTCTGTTCAGGATACAAACCAGTAGAGCTTCAGTCTAAACTTTTCAAGTCCAAGACAGATGTGTCTGCAGAAGAGTAGTATTCTGATGTAATTCCTTACATTAATCTTTTTTAGCTCACCTTGACGAAGTCGAGATGAGCTTATGCTATACCCCCGGCGTCGGCGTCCCGGTTAAAGTTTTAGGAGCAGGTCCATTTTCAAGTAACTATAAGCCCTACCCGGACCAAACTTGCATGGATGATGCATCTAGGGATGGGCACTACCAGACTTGCTTCGGATGCTGGATCTGACCTACATTTTCCAGATGAGTGACCAGGTTAAAGTTTTTGGAGCAGGTCCATTCCCAAGTAACTATAAGCCCTACCCGGACCAAACTTGCATGGATGATGCATCTAGGGATGGACACTACCAGACTTGCTTCAAATGCTGGATCTGACCTACATTTTCCAGATGAGTGACCAGGTTTAAGTTTTGGAGCAGGTCCATTCTTAATTAACTATAAGGCTACCTGGACCAAACTTGCATGGATGATGCTTCTAGGGATGGACACTACCAGACTTGCTTTGGATGCTGGATCTGACCTACATTTTCCAAACGAGTAACCAGATTATGTTTTTGGAACAGATTAATCCCCAATGAACTTAAACACCTATTTAAACTAAACTTGCTTGAATATTGTTAACAGGATAAATACTAACTGTTAAGAAAATGTGATGTGAGATTTGCATTACTTAAACTGATAACATTCGTCGAGGTGAGCTTCGTAATCTTTGATTACCTATGTTTTATTATTTGACCTGAGCCAAAGGCTCGAGTGAGTTTTTCTGATTGAAATTTGTCCATTCTCTGTCGTCGTTGTCAGCATTTTCGTTGTCATAAACATTTTACAAATTCATCTTCTCCTGGAGAACTACATGAACTGGAACAATTTCAACCAAATTCAGCACAAAGTATCCTTGGAAGAAGGGGATTCAACTTTATGAAATTGAAGGGCAACTGTCCACCTCCAAATTGAGATAATTACAAAATAGCAAAAAAATTAATGGCATCATTAAAAAATCTCAAGAACCAATTGCCCAGGAAAAATGAAATTCATGTGGAATCATTGTCAGATAGTGTAGATTCAAATGTGTTCAAATCATGATCCCTGGGGGTAGGGTGGGGCCACAATTGATGATCCAATTTTAGCAAAGGAATATATAGGAAAATTCTTTAAAAATCTTCTTCTCAAGAAGAGCATAGCAATGATTGGTCATATTTCTGTGAAAGCATCATCAGATAGTGTAGATTCAAATGTGATCAAATCATGACCCCTGGGGTAGGGTGGGGTCTCAATGGGGGATCAAAGTTTTACATAGAAGTATTCATAGGAAACATGTTTAAAAATCTTTTTCTCAAAAACAATGATTGGTCATCTTTATTTCTAAGCATCCTCAGAAGTGTGTTCAAACATGTGATCCTCACATGGTGTAGATTCAAATGTGATCAAATCATGACCCATGGGGGTAGGGTGTGTCCACAATGGATGATCAAAGTTTTACATGGGAATATAGGAGGAAAAATTACAATATTCCTCTCTAGAACAGCAAGGTTATGATTGGTCATATTTATGTGGAAACATATTCAGGTTTTGTTCCCAGGGGTAGGGTGGTGCCACAATGGATGATCAAAGTTTTACACAGGAATAAAGGGAAAAAAAACTTTAAAAATGTTCTTCTCAGAAACAGCAAAGCCATGGTTGGTCATATGGAAGCATCCACATTTAGTGTAGATTCAAATTTGTTAAAATCTTGACCCCCCCCCCCCCCCCAGGGTGCGGTGTGGCCACAATGAATGTTCATAGGGGAAAAAGTTGCAGTAAAAAAATGTAAGCATCTTTAGTGTATATTCAGTTTTGTTCAGATCATACCCCCCCCCCCCCCTCTTAGGGTTGGTCAGGACCACTTATGCATAAAGTGTTCAATACTAAACTGATTTTTGCTTTTTTACTTAGCCACAGTGCTCAGGTGAGGATTACATCCCAAAGTTTAAAACTGAGAAATATTATTCACCTTTGACTGGTATTTGAATATATCTTTGTTGATTTGTTTGAATATAGGTAGGAAGAGCAGCATTTTGAAAAATCTCCATTGTTATGAAGATGAAATACATGTATATGGAGATAATGAACAGCATTCAAGGTAAAAGTCCTTTTAAACAATACAAATTTGGAGCAGAGCAAACATGGACCTCTAAAACATCAGAGGTGGGATCAGGTGTCATGGAGGAGTGAGCAACCCCTGCCGACCGGTCATACCCGCCGTGTGCTCCTTGTCATGTTCGGGAAATAATGGAAAAATCCATCCAATTTCAGTGTGTAAATAATGGCCTAGCAATTAGTATGAAATATGTAAATCAGCATTTGACTTTTATAATGATAAATCATCGTTCTTGCTGACAAGGTCGTTGTATTGACCAATGATAGAATGTACGAAATGATTATTAAACGAGATGCTGATATTCTTTTAGGAAGCATTTAAACTTTACACCCCCCCCCTTCTCCGAAATTTTTCCTTTTTCAAACACAGCCACATTAAATGAATTATCATTTTTTCACAAATTAGTAAGAGAAATAAATCTGTCTGACTTTCTAATTTTTTTTACCGGTCTTTAAAATGTATTACATGTATTCCCCTTTTCACTGTAATAGTTTCAAAAATATATCAAATTCTAACAATATGATTTTTTCAAAAAAAAAGTAAAACTTGTTCAATTGTCAATAAGAATGAAAAAAATAACTCTTGCATCACCTTTTTCGGCCCTTGTTTCTTTGTATAAAGGAATTGTATTAATCGTATTAGCGGTTATAAACTAAAGACAGATAGCTAGACAAACGGACATCGAACTAGGATCAAACTTCTTACAGAACAATTTTTTTTTCAAACACTGCAACGTGTCTGTTGAAAGTGGGGGTAGCATTGGGGCTAAACCTATGCCCCAATGTTCAATGCCTATATTATGTCTATCTGTGCAAAAAAAAAAAGTTGGGGGGACGCCTATGAGGGGGATATATTTTTTATTTATTTTTATTTTTTTTTTTTACAAAAACTAACACTTAAGGTACATTGATACTCTGATAAGAGAGATAACCCAAAATGACACAAATTTCTATTATTCCTTTATAAATTTGTCAAGTTGAAGTGCCTTTTCTGTCAAATTCTGCCCCGAAAGCCATGCTATAATTGTTTGTATTTTAAGAAGTATATATATTTCCTTTGGAAAATCATAAAAGTTAAAGAAAAATTTGATATGAGTGAGCAGAGGGTTTATGAACCTTAACCTTTTTACAGTATCATTTTTTAACAAACGCTAGCACTTACCCTTTTTGACCTAAACTACAACGTGCCTGTTGAAAGTGGACAAGGCGTCGGAACCGGGGGGGGGGGGGGGGGGGGGGCCCCCCCACTTTTTTTCCAAATATATACCTAGCCCCCCCACTTTTTTCCAAATATACACCAATGTTCAATGCCTATCTTTGCAAAAGGGTGTGGAAGAAATTTTTGGTAGTGAAGTTAGATCCTACCCCCCCCCCCCCCCCCCCCCCCCCGAAATAGGATTTTCCGACGAAATTTCCTTATGATTATGGTTTTCTTACGAAATAAAGGAGAACATATTCTATGGATTTACATGTAATTTTGAAATATTACTCAGGTAAGTATTT